ATATGAGACCACTGGGTGGGGTCATCAGGGGGTGTGGGGCTTCGTGTCATCAGTACGCTGATGACACTCAGCTCTACATCTCCTTTTTACCTACCTCAATGCATGCCGTTCTGTCCCTTCAACACTGTCTGGAGGCTGTACTGCGGTGAATACAGGAGAATGGGCTGAGGCTGAACCCAGACAAGATGGAGGTCCTGAGATGGGTGGCCCCTCCACTGGCGGTTTGGGAAACTCCCTCTCTTGGGGAGCGACTCTCATCGCGAAGAGTGAGGTTTGCAGCTTCGGGGTCCATTTGGATCCGGCACTCACCATGGAAACCCAGGTGGCATCAGTGGTTCGCTCCACCTATTTCCATCTGTGGTGGATTGCCCAGCTGCATCCCTATCTTGATGGTGGGGCCCTCACCACTCTGGTCCATGTGCTTGTAATCTCGTGATTAGACTACTGTAATTCGATGTGTGGAGCTACCTTTGAGATTGATGCGGAAGCTTCAAATGGTGTAAAATGCCGTGGCCAGACTTCTTAGCGGGCAAGAAAATACCAACATATCTTTCCCACTCCGGCTGCCTTGCATTGGTTGCCCATTCATTTCTGCATTGATTTCCAAGTGTTAATGATGACATATAAAGCCTTAAACGGTTTAGGACCTCAATACCTAGCGGAACGCCTTCTCCCACCTAGATCTACTCGAGTCACTCAATACAGCCAGGAAAGACGGCAAAGGGTCCTAACGCCGAGGGAGGGCCAGAAAGAAAGTACAAGAAATTGAGCCTTCTCGGCAGTGGCTCCTCGACTTTGGAACAGCTTGCCATCAGAGATTTGCCTGGCACCCTCGCTGGGTGTTTTTAAGAGCCAATTAAAGACTTGGCTCTTTAGGCAGGCCTTCCCTCCTGTCAATATTTAACTTTTACTTCTTACTTTAGCTTTTCCTCACATTGCCCATCTTCAACAATACTAATACTATTGACTTAAATTGTTGTATGATATGTTTTATTGTAAGCCGCCCTGAGTAGACATTGTCTAGAAGGGTGGGATATAAATCAATCAAACAAACAAATAAATAAAAGTACACCATTTGGTTGTATTTATTTCTTACCATATGCTATAATTCTATATACAATACTACAATTAGTTTATTTGACTCATCAACTAGTCTAATAAAATCTCCCCTGAGGTGCAAAAATAGGCCTATTGAACAATGGAAAATGAAAGTCCTTTTCCCCCTCTCTCTTTTTTATAGGCCATGTATTCTCATCTTAGATTCCCTGAAGGCAAGCTCTGTACAGAATACCATTCAGCTTTTGAGAGAGTGAGTAACACTGTCTTTCACTTGGTTTTTCGTGTAAATGTACAATGTCAACTTAATTTTTAGGCCAAATGATGCTGCATGGATCAAGAGGTAAGTCCCGTGGTCCTCCAGATATGGTATGACTAAAACTCCCATCAGACTTGGGAAATAAAAAATAATGTAGAAAGACTGGGACATGTGCTCCAGCAAAATATGAACGGCCACAGTTGCTCATCCCTTATACAAAATTTAAAAATTCAAAATAGCAATCCAGATTTACAAAGCAAAATTACATATTAAATTATGGTTAGTTCAGTTTTTTAACATGTAAGCCAGGAGGGGCAGAGTGCAGCTGGTGGCCCATATGCAGCCCCAGTGCATTTCTGTGGAGACCCTTGGACCCCTCCCCATGCATCCTGGGGAAAGAAAATTTGATCATATAATAAACTGTTATAATAATTTGATTTCTGTTTTCTTTCATTGTAATTTTCTGGATAAAAATATTCTTATTTCTTTGAAGCCTTTTTTGTTTTAATTTTTAAATGTTCAAGATTTTGTTCATGGTTTTATTGTTATTTAATGTAATTGTCTATATGCTATCTTGAATGATAGAATGAAGAGCAGCAAGACAATCATTTTGTATATAATAAAAACAGTATTGAGTAAATAAATATGCCATTTACTACGTATACATACTACTTATTTTTGTAAGTGTCTATAGAGACTGGATTGGTTTCAGCCTAATTCAGTCATGTATACATTCTCTTAAAATCAGTGAGACTTAAGAAAGCTATATTTTCCCATTTACAGTAGTAGTTCCCACGATATCCATGGGATCAGTATCCAGTTATCCAGGGTCTGAAAATATTAAAAATATTTTTAAAAAACCCTAAAATATTTATTTTTAACAATAAAGTTATCAGAACTGGCCACTAGAAGGAGATGGAGACCATGCTATGTATAACATTTCCTATTATAATAGCATTTGATGCATCTGTGACTTTCAGTATCTTGGGACTGATTTCCCACAGAAGCGGAGATCTCCGCCTTATTTTAATGTGGTATAAGTGCAACAAATCTAAATCTACCCCATTATCTTTCCCTTTTAAAATTTCAGATACCTGGAAGCAGAATGGGAGGCAAAACGCAAAACATCTCGTGAGTTCAGCAAATCAGTGATGGTAGATTTCTGCCCAAGAGTTCCAAAACAGGATAACAGCAGTGATTGTGGACTGTATTTACTGCAGTATGTCGAAACGTTTTTTCAGGTGCAAAAAAACTAATTGATCTTTCAAGTTATTATTTTGCTTTTTTTAAGAAATCTCACCTCCTTATATACACTTGTTGTTGTTTAATCGTTAAGTCGTGTCTGACTCTTCGTGACCCCATGGACCAGAGCACACCAGGCCCTCCTGTCTTCCACTGCCTCCCGGAGTTGGTCACTTCAATGACACTGTCCAGCCATCTCGTCCTCTGTTGTCCCCTTCTCCTCTTACCTTCACATTTTCCCAACATCAGGGTCTTTTCCAGGGAGTCTTCTCTTCTCATGAGATGGCCAAAGTATTGGAGCCTCAGCTTCAGGATCTGTCCTTCCAGTGAGCACTCAGGGTTGATTTCCTTTAGAACGGATAGGGTTGATCTCCTTACAGTCCAGGGGACTCTCAAGAGTCTCCTCCAGCACCACAATTCAAAAGCATCAATTCTTAGACAGTTAGCCTTTTTTATGCTCCAGCTCTCACTTCCATACATCGCTACTGGAAAAACCATAGCTTTGACTATGTGGACCTTCGTTGGCAAGGTTGTGTCTCTGCTTTTTAAGATGCTGTCTCGGTTTGTCATCTCTTTCCACCCAAGAAGTAGGAGTCTTTTAATTTCATGGCTGCTTTCACCATCTGCAGTGATCATGGAGCCCAAGAAAGTAAAATCTGTCACTGCCTCCATATCTTCCCCTTCTATTTGCCAGGAGGTGATGATCTTAGTTTTTTTTATGTTGAGCTTCAGACCATTTTTGGCGCTCTCTTCTTTCACGCGCATTAAGAGGTTCTTTAATTCCTCCTCATTTTCTGCCATCAGAGTGGTATCATCTGCATATCTGAGGTTATTGATATTTCTTCTGGCAATCTTAATTCCGCCGAGGGATTCATTCATTCCTGCATTTCGCATGATGTATTCTACATATGAGTTAAATAAGCAGGTGAACAATATACAGCCTTGTCGTACTCCTTTCCCAGTTTTGACAAATCAGTTCAAAATATCCATTAGAAATATCCATAAAAACCATATCCAGTTCTAACTATTGATTCCTGTCCCACATATAGGTTTCTCAGGAGATAGATAAGGTGGCCAGGCACTCCCATTTCTTTAAGAACTTGCCATAGTTTGCTGTGGTCCACACAGTCAAAGGCTTTTGCATAGTCAATGAAGCAGAAGTAGATATTTTTCTGGAATTCTCTGGCTTTCTCCATAATCCAGCACATGTTAGCGATTTGGTCCCTAGTTCCTCTGCCCCTTCGAAATCCAGTATGTTCTTCTGGGAGTTCTCGGTCCACATACTGCTGAAGCCTACCTTGGAGGATTTTGAGCATAACCTTGCTAGC